CACAAATTGGAAATATATTTTGTACTGGTATATTAATAAATTTAGAATTAAAGGAGAAGTCATACTAATATTGATCTAATTGGAAAGATTATTCGATACTTCTACTGTTATTAAAGACTCGTATCTCTCTAGCAACTCTCGATTCATTATCCAGACCATCTCAATCTTCTTAAAGTGATTCTGAAGGAAGAAGACAACAATGTTAGGGCTCGCTCCGTAACAAGCTTGCGACAATATATGATGAGTCAACAAGGAAATATGCTTTTTCTTCTTTATCCCGCATACTTTCTTTATGTAATTAGATTGTACTAAATAAAGTTGTATGGATGAAATATAAGAAATACAATTGAGTGAGTTTACTTGGCTTTCTTCATGCTTATCTTGAGCAGTGTTGATCTTTCCTCTTCTCTGTAAATTCCTTCATGATATCAGAGTCATTTGCTTAACAACAAAATAACATGGAGTTCTCTTCTTCTACTACCCATCAAAACAACCAACAAAATACAAATTTCTTCAACAAAATGAAAGAGATAAATATACTAATATCTCTCAATTTTTTGATGGCTTACAATAAAATAGTGGCAAATTCACCACTAACATATGACAATTACTCGGGTTGGAAGGTATAAATTCTCAAACTCCCCACTGTTAATGGATTGAATCCTTCTTAGAATGCATAATTTTTCCCCCACCACAATTCAATCAAGATGAGACATGAGCTGAAATACAGAATTCATATTTGATATTTTGGATATTGGTAGATCAGAACCTGACAGCTGTTATTTTCTCAACCATCTCACCCTCTATCTTATCCTATATCATTCATTAGAACAACACTAAGCTATTTGAAGCACTCTGGAAAGAAGATTCCAACCAACAAACATATCTAGGGGCAATTCAACTCAAGAATGAGCTTCATGATATTTCCATGGGTACAAACAATATGACCCAATGTCTAACCAACACCAAATGCCTAATTGACAGCTTAACAACAACAGGCTCCAAGTTCTATAATGAGGATATCTATCTTATTGAATGGTCTTTCACCCAACTACTAAGAATTCAAAACAATCATAAGAAATCAAATCAATCCATAAGACTAATGAAATTTTATTCTCTGTTGCGAAGTAAAGAATGCAATTTAGCCCACGAGGTAGCAAAAATCTAAAAATCTTCAACAACCACTACCATACATGGGTACATAAGCAATGGGAAATCGACAAAGATCATAAATCTCCCACACATAAAATAGTATCTTACCTACATAAACTACTAAGCTAAGTCTCTCACTAATCTTTCAAGCTCCTCATTTCTCACACAAACTTATCTATATACAAAAACTCACTCAAGACAATAAATGTATAATTACCTTTCATTCTAATGTCTTTCAAAAATAGGATTTAACAATTTGAAAAACAATTCTCACTGAACAAGCTGAGAAAGGATTATAATTTCTAACTCTACCATTACCTCCAATAAGTGGAACAAGAGGCTGAGACACCCTCACCCAAAAGCTCTATCTAGCATCTCCAACTTCAATCCTCATCTCAACATTTAAACCACCACCTCTCCCTATGGATAATCCACCAAAGGATGTCAATGATTCACGCTCGTTAATATGACCATCTCTTGTCAATAAAATGACCTCTTGGAGGGTGTGGTAGATTTGTTGATTGAGTTGGTCACTACTCGTGGAGAGCTTGTGAGCAACAAAAAGAACTTTTTTATTGCCAAAGATTCTGACAACACAGGTAAAAGCTAAAGTGTTGGATATGCAAGACTAGATCATAGATTTGGAGGAAGACATCATGGAGATAAAGAATCATGTTGTTGTTCTAGAAGAGAAGGTGGATGCTGGCTAAGACACGTTTCTAAAAATGCATCAAGACCTAGATGAAGTGAAGGCTTGAATATTTCAAGTTCAACAAAGATAGAGGCATCATGATGATGAGTTATTCTTTTCTGATGGTAGATTTATCTTGGATAGGCTTCTCTGGTCTGGTTGCATTTCTCCAAATGATATTAGCAAAAATCACCTCAACCTTTTTTATGGCGATTCTTAATTATATGTATTGCATATACATTTTTAACATTCTATTACTTGTCTTTCGTAAACTAACGACTTATAAATAAAATGATAGAAACACATTTTTTTATTTCATGTACTCGCTATACCTTGAGTCTAGTCTTATTATTTTATATAGCTGCATCAAGCATTTTTTGTGGTAACGGGAATCTACGAGCTATAAGGAATGGCCATCGGGTAATGATTTGAATTAGTTGAGGTGTTGAGTCGGTTCACAAGGCAGAATGACCAATTAATTAGAGGGCTTTTTCGATTTTGAATAGATGACTGTGATTGTAGAGAGTTCATGACTCGTTTCATATGTTATCGCCCGAACAAAGTTTTACACCATCCTTATCTCGATCACAAGGCATAAATGCCAAAATTTTTCCCTGGAGTGTCTTCCACATTCATCGGAATATATTTCTCTCAGTATTTCTTCTTTTTTTCGTTTTGCTTAATGCATTTCAAGCATGGTAATTACATTGACCTTCAAAAAAGTTTTCCATCAATCAGTAAATATAAGTTGGATTCAGCCTTGAAGCGCTCCTCATCAATGCTTTCGGTCTTAAGGAATAAGATGCATAGGCATATTTCCCTCAGCTTCAATTTCCATTATCTCGGCTTCTTCGATTATCGATCGGTGGAGTCTCTGAGATGTCCCTTCTCCTAAATGAATTCATTTGAACAAGAGGTTCGCTACTTGATTATCCACTCGGGAGATGTGTTCAATCTTAAAACCTTCAATTTTTTCTATCTCGATCTGGGCCTTGCAGCAGTATCGAGGCATCATCTCATCTCTGACTTTGAGTTACTTGTTTCACTAATTGACCACAACTGTGAGTCAGATTTAAAGTAAAAAAGGACTTCTATTGGAGGCATGCTATGTAGGAGAAGGGAGAGATGCATTGGGTCGAGCAGCCTGCTTTACAAACATAAGTAGAGTGGGATACTGCTAGTGGCTAAAGCAGGAAGGAGGGATCGGACGTTGGAGTGAGCTATGAGATGGGAGTCTTATGTGATGGTGTTTAGAGATGGGCAGATGTTTGCAACAATGCAGTGGGGGTGAAATTGGTAGAAGGGGAGGTGCATGTAATTTTAAATATGTATACTTCAACTTTAATAATGTGTTTATTTAAGTATGTATACTTGGACTTTTACACTTAGAACACTCAAAGCTTTCAAACCAATGTAAAACTATCTATTATTTCAGTTTTGAAAATTGAGGCGCACCATTTGAATATATTGGTAAAGTAGTATAAATGTAATTTTTGAAGTTTAAATGTTAAATATCTAAATATATAAAAGAGACAGTACATACTTACCACTAAATTCTTATGTATTTAACATATATAACACCCAAACATTCATATTTACATGCATAAAACTCAAATCTTCAACACCATATTAAATAGATCATTATCATCATTTTAAAAGCAAAGTACACATTTTTATGATTAGGTTTATGGCAACAATACATTATAAGTGTAACTACAAAATTTTTTGGTATATGTAAATACACCTGAGTTTTTAGTTGTCGGGCGAACTTGTGAGGCGAGGATGCGATGAGGACCACTGTAAGCATGGCTCTAAATAGTGGGGATGGTAGGGATGTGATTGTGCGGGCGAACTTGTGAGGCGAGGATGCGATGAGGACCGGTGTAAGCATGGCTCTAAATATTGGGGATGGTAGGGATGTGATTGTTATATATTTTATAGCTTAACATGTGTGTGTATATTAATAATAATAACCTTAATATAATCTATGCATGTTAATCCCTTCTCACTCATCTTCAATATTCATGTGCCTCAATTTATGTGCAGTCTCCGGAGTGGATGAATTTGTTGATTTTCTTACATGCCATGACCAAAGCAATATGAATATCTTTTTTCTAGCAAAATCAACTTTTGAATGCATTAACACTATCCAATTTATAATTGGAATGATATTCAAGTCATTTCAACACAAACTAGGGTGTTCCAAACTTGATTCATATAGCATCATATTCATCATTTTCTTGGCATTCATTAAAATTGATGGTAGGACGCCTATTTTTGCCTGATTTCAATGCTCCTGGCACATCTTCATATTCTATTTTATAAAAAGGGTGACTTTCGGATAATTTTGAATACACTTGAGTTAACGCAAACCGAGTTCATGAAACATCATGTTCGATTACCATATTCTTTGATCAAACTTGCTCAAGTTGACTTTGGAACAAATGAGGCCTACAATGGCCCTCCTCTCCAACAATTATATATAATATAGAAACTCCTTCTAACCCTCATGTATTTGGTGAGTTATAAAAAGTATTAAGACACTGCATTGCCTTGAAGTTCAAGCTACTGATCACAAAAGGAACAAATTCATTTTATAAGAAAATGAACGTTTATTAATAAATCTTACCTTTTTTTATGAGAATATGAATGCCACTTTGGTAAATTCAACAAGTGGCTTCATCTCAATCAAGTTTGTTTAGATGTAAGAACTCAGGTTGACGTTCAGATTTATATGTCATGTTGTTTGGGCAGAAATAGCTTTTCCTTGGATAAGAAAAAGAAATCTTTACTTCAAATGCTAGCAAGTTTAGACATTTTATCTAAATTAGTACTAAATTTCCTTAAAAAATTGTCTACACAAAGCTATTTGTTGATCACAGATGTGCTGTTTCAAATAAACATCTTAATTATCAAATATATCAGATATACTTTGCTATCTAGCTAAGAACCCCTCATCATCATATCTACTATTTAAACATATATTTCAGATTTACTTCATTCCCAATTAAAAATGAAGACTGAAGAATGATGATTGTTTGGCAACCATTTATAAACTAAATGCCAAAATTGATAAAATAAATATAAATTTCAACATTATTGTATAATCACCATCAAAGCCAACATAAAATTAAGTTAACCTGACAGTCTGCACTTCTGCACCCTCATGAAACTAGTGACAAAAAAAAATCAACTGAATATCTTCAATTGAATTCCTTTGACCCTCCATCTACTACAATCAAGCAATGTAAAGGATTTGGCAGTCGACACGGAGTGGCTAGAACTTCAAAGTTACTTAACATAAATAATTTTTTGACATGAAGGACCTTCTTTAGTTGTTCTGAGATATTTGTCCGGCCTTTTTGTCTCTCATATCACTCTTAAGAATTCTCTCAGCGCTCCCAATCTTCCCTGCATAATTCTTTCAACCACTTTTAGGCCACCAAATTTCACCAAAACAAAGAGAAGTAGGAGTTTCATGTATAGCGTTTGCACAAGTAAGAGAAGTTGGTCTAACGGTTATATTTACATGGCATCATTCTATTGAAGAAAGCACACACTATTACTGCAAATAAGAAAATGCCAGTTTAGTGGTTACAGTGAAAATAAGAAAGTGACAGATTGATCTCAACCTTTATCACATAATGAAGTAGAAAACCAAGACAAAACAATCAGAGGGTCTGAACTTGAGGCTTAGCGTCGACGCCGCTTGCCATCAGCTGCATAAGGAGGTGGCTTTCTATTAAATTTACTGGTGCGAGGCCTTAATGAATCTCTGTGATGAGAGTCCAAAAGAGGCTTAGAAGGATTACTAAACCGTTCAAATTCACCTAAAGGTTTTGTCTGCGCTGGTCCACCAGCTGGAGCATCTGAGATAGGGCATGGGCATGGCCCAAGCAATCCGGGCTGATATTTTTGCTGTAAATCATGGTTTTGACAAGGATGGAATGATATTGGTGCTGTTGTGTCTGGAGGAGGGAGGGGTCTTCCTGACAGCAGCCTTGCACTAGTGGTTGCACTAGGCAGTGGCTGCTTGGGAAGCTCTAGGTCTGGGGGACACCATTCTGGCATGTCATCATCGTCGTCATCCCAGATGCTTTTGCGTTTGAAACCAAAACCATTCCTCGTATTGTTACCCGTTTCCTTTGTTTCTTTAAGGCAGCTTGAATGGCTTTTGAACTGATAATCCTCAGTTGAAAGTGTCTTGTCAGTGATGAACTTCCCAAAGTTTTTGGCATGGGGTAATCCCTCATTGGAATGTAATAATTTGCTGGGTAAAGGTGAAGGCATAGGTCTATAGGACTCTGTCCTTGTAGCTAATAAAGCGGGATCACCTGCGCTCCATGGTGCTTCAAATGAGGGTTTTCCAGTTAGTGGAGGTGCATTAGGGAAACGAGTTTGCTGAGTCCATCCAGGAAATCGGTTAGTGGGGCCTTCTGGTTCTCCGCAAGCAGAGCTGAAGTCAAATTCTGGGAGGTCGTCATCATCAGCTTCTTCTTCTTCTTTTCCATCACCATTGGACGCATCACAAGTTTCCTGAATTTGAAGAAGAGGAGGTGCTCTTGTCTCCAAAACATCTGCAAGCCCTCTCGTTACCATATGATGCATGGTATGAATCTCATCTTGAAGCTTTCCTCCTTTAATAATAGCCTGAAAAGATACATTAAATTACGAAGTTTTCTGAGTATAAATTTACCATGAGAAATTACACCAAGAGAGCATTTTCATGAGACAAACTACCTGAGGTACATTTTCATTTGACTTGAGAAGTCCATGCAGGAGCTCAAGCGGTAAAGGAGGTGGCCCTGGAAGAGCAGGCTGTGATGCTTGAAGGCTTGGTGCAAGATTTTCTCCAGCACAGTTTGAATCATTTCCAGCACTAGAATCAGTCTTCTGCGCCAGTTGTGGCTGAAACTGAAAATTTGAGGAATTTACGGGGACTAAAGGCCTGGGCCTTGGAGCTGGACCAAAGCCAAAGTTTCCAAGGCTTTGTGACACACTACTTGATGGAGAATTTCCCAGCATAAATACAGGAGTCATTTGAGTTGGTGAAACGCATTGTGAAGATTTGTCTGAAACCAGAACTACTTCATTTGTTCCTGAATTTTGTTGGAGAGGATTAATGTCTGCTGGCTGCATATTCTCCTGCAACAAGTTCAAAGAAGGCTTCTCAGAAGTTTTCTGCTGAGCTGGAACTAGTGGACAACTGTATGGGACTGAAGATGTTATTGTTTGGACAGCACTACATTGAAAACTGCCGAAATATGAATTGCTACTAGAAACTGCAGCTTTGTTTTCAATAATCATGGATGTTGTATCACTAAGAGCAGTGGCTGTGCCAGCCTCCAAACCAGGCAGGTCCAAAGCAGCTTTCAATTCCGTTTCACTTGGCACAACTTGTTTCTTTGCGCATTCATGTGCTTCCATGGCTGATGAATTCAATCCTTGATTGGATAGTCCAGTTGAATTGAGGGGCTGCTCTTCTAGGAGAGTTTTCTTCTCCATTGTATCTTTAGAGACATAGTTTGTGGATGGTTGACTTCTACGCCATACAACACAACCAATTAATGAATCCTGATCTTCTTCAACTGCAGCCATTCCCTTGAAAAAACCATACTTAGCGAGTATGGTTATTATGGCGTCACTGCGAGGGCATATATAAAGATCAATGCCTGGAGGAATTTGTGCAAACCCAACCTTCTCAGTTTCCCTATAACCCTTTGCAACCTAAGAGATTAAGTGAAAGGTATCATAACCTAATGAGGAATCCTGAATATTCAAGAAGAATAAATAACGCAGTGCCATACCTCCATCATGCCTGAGAGACCACTTCTACAAGATCCAACCTTCCAACAAAGGGATATTACCTAAAAGCCATGAAACCTATAACCCTTCAACACAACAAGTTATTTAAGCAATAGAGATCTAACTATAACAAGGTTAAGTAGTGAGGAACAATTTCCAGCAATGCTCTCCGCTCCACATGTTTCTAACCGATAAACTTGCAGTGGCAATACTTTCACATAAAAATTGACTTAAACGTATTTGTAAAATTGAATTTGGAAAGACCATGATAATTACAATTTGAACATTTTAGTGAAGATACAATCGTGATTGGTTGGTTCTGGTTTAGATATCAATTTGATAGAGAACTGTCAAGTGCAATAAGATATAGTACTTAACGTGATTCTTTTAAGGACAAGCTCAAATCCAACATTCCGATATGCTTTCAGCATTATTAGTTTGAATAAAATGCTTAAGAAAAATGTGTAGATAATGCACGGAGCTCCTGCAAATATAGAGTCTGGAGAAGTTTAGTTTTGCCATTTACATAAACAAAGACTATTTCAATTATTCAAACCAGGGACCTTCATAATACACCATGAAACTTAATGCTTGTTGGTCAGGTGGCTCTCCAAACTCTGATGAAGCCCAAATGGATTGATTTAAGCAAGACTAAAATCTCAAGGTTCAGCAATGTCAAAATAGGACTGACGGGTTCCACACAAGCTTCAAAATAAACTGGGTCTTTGTTGACCTCGACCGGTTGATTCCCCTCCTTAGTAGCCAAGATTCTAGCCGTAGGACCTTTCTGTTGACTACTCCTAGAAAACTAGTAAAGGAGTCCTACCCGTTAGCAATTCTAGACTTTTATTCGCTCGACTTGACTTTCCATGTAGTAGTCTTGACCGTTATTGCTTAGCAAGTAAGGCTACTCCGAAGAAACTCAGAGAGCATTCCTATAAGACTGTCGGCCTTAGGATTGACTCTACTCGTTGATTTGGCGCTGCTGCACTCTTCGCCGTCCTGTTTAATCGATTCGAGCTGAAATCTTGATAGGATTTGGATTGCGATGCGTTTTTAATTCGATCGACGACGAGGTTGCTCGAACGACTCCGGATGACGAAACGGACTGCGCCGACACGTCTGGAACGTCGATTTTGCTTATGAGAGATGTTTGTTTCTTCGCGAGGGCATTTTTGGAGAAAGAGATTACGCCGACACCCCCCTGCGCTCGATCTCTGTGGAATTTTTTTCAATCATCGGCTTCTTCTTCCCTTAGTGTTTCCCCCCCCCGCCCGCCTCTCGCTCGTGCCTCTGCCCTAAGCCGCTGTGGTCCCTCGCGTGACCCCGCGAGCTCGAGACATGAGAACAAAAATTCCTGCACTCCCCTCTCGCAGTCACCCATCCCGCCTCATCATTCGTAGGCGTGGGCTCTTTGAGCCTCAAACAGTATGGCCGACCCCCCCTGCGCTCGATCTCTGTGGAATTTTTTTCAATCATCGGCTTCTTCTTCCCTTAGTGTATATCAGAGCTCCTCTGTGAAGCTTCAAGGGGCCGAAAATTTGTTATGGGGAGGAAGTTTCTCTGTCACTCTTCTTCCTTATTCTTTTTTTGAGTTTCTAGTGCTTCAATTAGGTTCTCACTGTTGGGAGGAAAGTTTGGCTTCTAGAATAGAAAGATTACTATTTGCCTCATTCCTAAATATGTTCTAACTTATTCTTTATACATTTGTTATGTGGGAATGACATTTAAAAGCTTGAGGGTGTGTATTTCCTTCTCCCTCCCTTTCTCCGTGCTTTACTGGCTCTCGGTTATGGCCTTGTCGAGCCTCTGATGATGATCTTGTGGTGTGGTGCTAGAAGTTAGATTTGGTTAAGCAATATGGCATGCTATTAATTCTTTCTTTTACTTTGCTTATCTAAAGTGCTGAAGTCATAGCATGTTTCCTAACTTCTGAGGCATATTTATATTAGAAACAATTAAAAGGATGGCCTTGAAATAATTTGGCTCCTCTCATGAGCATGTTAGTGTATGTATTGTGAAACTTTCATTCACTTTCACTAAAAGCATGTGATAGTTCTAAGTTGAATACCTTAAAGGCATGGGAATATTTTTCTAACCCTCATTGTGGCCTAACTTTTAAATCTCAATTGCAGTTGAACTTTTAAGACCTTGCTGGGTTCGGGTTTTGGCCTTGCTTGGCTCGATTTGGTCTTTAACTAGTCTGGAATTTGATGAAAAACTTGGTTTGACTTTGGTTTTGTGTTGAATCTCGGTTCTTGCCTATTGGGGGTTCTTCCTTTTTCTCGCTTTGGTGGCTCGGTTTCTTATTTTGGGAAGATTTGGGTGTTGGTTTTATTGAAGCTTGGCTTTTGCTTTGGTTAAAAGTATTATCTTAACACATTTAAGCTTCTCATTGGAACTTTAAGGAACTTGTTTTGGCTTTATGGTGAGTTCTGATTGTGCTTTATGAGGACCTGGCTTTAGCTTCCCTTGTTTGGGCTTAAACTGCTTGGATGATCGTGGGGAGAGCAAATGTGTCATTCCAAAGAGATTGATGGTATTTTACACTCTCTTGCGTATGTTAGAGTTCCTGTGGAATGAATTTGAGTTGCCTTAGTCATGGACTTTGTCTTGTGCCTTGAACTTAGCCTAGGCCGTGAGCCTTCCCTTTCCCTTTGCCTCGTGTCTTGGCTTTGGTCTTGGCTGTGAGCCTTGTTTACAATGCTTTGGAGTTGGTTTGGACTGCCCTGTTTGTCGTGGCCATGAGTCTTTCCCTTCTTTAAGTCCTAACCGTGGGTCTCTCTCTTTTATATTGGCCTTGTTTTGCCTTGGCCATAAATCACCTGTGGGAGTTTATTCGGGTCTAGAGCTAGATGGTGCTGAAATTGGCTTTTACCCGTGAATTTTCTTGGCTTTACCTCACTTGGGCCAGGGAGCTTGGTAGCTATCTTCCTTTCTCTATTGATACAGGCCGTGGGTCTTACACCTCAGTGCATTGGAAAAATTTCGTGTTTGTTTGATGTGTGAGACTATGGATTAATTTGGGAGTTGGGAGATTTTGATATCAACTTGGGGTTTGGAGGATTTGCAAGCCTTATTTGGGAGAGCATTTGGTTGATTTGATTAATCTTATGTCTTTAGGGTTTGAAAAATCAGCGCAAAGTAATCCTTTATGTTTGTTAGGAAAGACCTTGGGCCCTACTCTTCCAGGTCTTTTCGATAGGAGTTTTGAGAACTGATCTACTCTCTTTTTCGGTATTTTAGATGGATCAGTGTCTCCTCTCTCTCACCCCATTTTTGTTCTTTTCTTTCCTTGCTTCTTGGTTCGGTTTTCAATGCTTATGTCCGACGCATACGTGTCCGCGTATAGTCTTTTGCTATACGTGAAACCATCAAGTAAGGTCGCAAGTAGTTTGTTTTGAGGCGTAGGGTGGTGATGATAAAAGCACACTGAAGATAGAGCAGAATGATGCCCTATCCTATAACATTAAGATACAGGTATTTGATGAACAATAAGATAAAGATATCCTTCACCGACATAAGTCTAGCGGGAGTTGGCTCGAACCTCCTCAGGTGGTTGGCAGTCCCACGCCCGACAGCGTAATCGACTTGTGGACAATATAAATTGTTAAAACTTATTTCAAAAAATAAAAATATATTTTTCGCTATAAAATAAAATTTGATGATTTTTTTTAGCGCTATGTGCATGTCAAAAACATAAATTTTAAAATACATTTTAAAATTGATTGTCCACATGACGAATACTTGTTTAGGCTGGAAAATAGCCCTCTAGGTGAGGTTCAAGACACACTTGTAGACGAGTGACGGGTTCTATACATTCGGGTGACCCAGTAGCCTTCGTGAACCCTCGAGTATGTATATATATCCGAGTCTAGCCCCACATGAGTGCTTACGGTCCCCCTTACCCGAATTTTTTTTGTTTTCTCGAAACTTTGGGACAGGGCACTCGTGTTTCTTTTCCTTTCTTTTGGGATTTCTCCAAGATTTTTAGGATTTTTTACTTGAGTCTCTTCTCGTTGATTTTCTCGAGTTTTCTGTCCTGAGTCGTAGTTACACTCTTCTTCGAATTTCCTGGATGACGTTTCTTCCAGATTTCGCTTTTTGCGATGCATTTCAGCTTGCTATATTTGCTATATTTAAGAAACAACGGATCTCACGGGCGTACAGGTTTGCTTTACATTTACAGCAATGTCCTGTACAGCATGTTATACTATTCTTGTTTCTACCTGCTACTGTTCTTCCTGTACAGCATATTATACTATTCTTGTTTCTACTATTCTGGTTTCTATCTGCTATCATTCTACTTGCATCCTACTGTTTGTCCTGTACTGCACATTTTATATTATATAGCCTTAAGCATGCCTTCTTTTATAGGATGTTTAAAGGACTATTACCATAGGGCCGCTGGATTTGACATCATAACTGGACACCCTAGAAAACTTAAACTCGTCACGACAAGGAGCTTGGAACTAGCGCGGTGGGCAGCATGACACTACTGTTCTTCCTGTACAGCATGTTATACTATTCTGGTTTCTATCTGCTATCATTCTACTTGCATCCTACTGTTTGTCCTGTACTGCACATTTTATATTATATAGCCTTAAGCATGCCTTCTTTTATAGGATGTTTAAAGGACTATTACCATAGGGCCGCTGGATTTGACATCATAACTGGACACCCTAGAAAACTTAAACTCGTCACGACAAGGAGCTTGGAACTAGCGCGGTGGGCAGCATGACAATCTTCAACAGCAGAACATGTCTTTCCCAGCTAAACCATTGTTGACCTCACTTTCGGTCGAGTAGCCTAAGATCTAGCCGTAGGACCTTTCTGTCTACTACTCCTAGAAAAAGAAGCTGTCGGCGATAAAAAGTGTGGGGTGTTGGGTGAGGAGTTGCTCGTAAGAAGCTGTCGGTCACCGCAATCAAGATCCTGTCGCCCGCTTCGAAATGACGCTTTAATTTACATATAAATTTAAGTTTAAAATCAAATATGAAAATCAAACTGACCCCATATTTTTCATAGTTTAAATGAAAGAGCGCTTTGCCTCAAACCCTGC